TATTTAAAGCTAGAAAAAGAAAGTCATGCCACTTGCTCATCGAGTATACCGCATTCAAAGCTTTGAAAAAGCTATAAGAAAATATTTTAGGACAAAGTTGAGCTAAGCATTGGATAGAGCTGGAAAAGCTCTTCAAAATGATATCAACATCAATTGCAGCTTTCCTAGATTTCAAGGGAAATAAAGCATCCAAAAGTGGAGTGTCAGAAAACGACAGAACTTTCTGAAACGCCTAATATATTTACTTTCCTGAACCGGAATGCGAAGCGCAGTAACTCAAAATAATGCGTAGCCTAGTACAGCGCTGTCACGAGAAGAACTTCCTCACCTTTCGCTTCCCTGGAGGAGCTGGATCGAATATACGGGTTTGCATTTCAGATGGCAACGCTCCATATACAGGTAGAATAAGCAATTCAGGAACATCAGGTCCAAGTGCTTTCATTCGTTCATACAGTACCTCACAAGAGGTGTCAATTTCTTCCTGAATCAACGAGATTTTTCGAAACTATAAACAACATCGGTTTCTGCACAAAAATAGTTGAAGATCACCTGTCCTGTGAGGAAGACAAGAATGTCTCCGGGAGGTTCCGTTAAATGGATTTGCATAACTGTTATGTGTGCAGCATCCAAATAATCAGTTTCCGGCTCTCTCGTATACAGTATTTCGACGGGGAAAGTTCGACCAGGGATTGTGAAAATAGGAGCTTCCAAGAAATATTCCGAAAATTTAACTGCATCAAGAGTCGCACTGAAGAAAAACAAACGAAATGAATTTTACTTTCTATGGGAATATCCTAGTGTAAAGGTATTATCTCACCTTGTTATAATAAGTTTGAGATCAGGTCGTTTTTTTGCAGCTGCCTTCAACAAACCAAAAGAGGACGTCGGTATTGATAGTCCTTTCGTGAGCCTCGTCCAACATTATGAGAGAGTATGACATGAGATCAGGGTCAACTAGGCATTCACGTAGAAGCATACCATCAGTCATGTATTTTATGATTGTATCTTGACTGTAAAAAAAAACATAAGAAAGTGAAATATTCTGTAAGAAAAAATTAATAAACAAGACCCGGTTAATGGAAGAATTTAACAGTAAAACTAAACATGCCTTGTACAATCCTCAAAACGGATGGTGTACCCGACTTCTTGACCAAGTTTAGCGCCAAACTCTTCAGCAACGCGTTTCGCAACAGACATTGCAGCGACACGTCTACAAAGAACCTTTGATTCGTTCATAATGAAGACTACAACAATATGGAGTTGAAAAAAAATTAGATAATTTTTGGCAGTTAGCACAAAAAAATCTCACCTTGGCTGGGTACAACCAATTTTACCCTTCCGCGTAAAGCCAGCTTCAACAGCGTATTGGGTAATCTGCGTAGTTTTTCCAGAACCAGTTTCACCGATGACCACAAGAATTTGATTGTCAATCATTGCCTGCAATAATTACAATGATGAAACTGCTTCTTCAGCGCTTCATATCCGTTTCAAACTGTGGGTCGCCATCTGTCTATCACCCTCTATCTGCGTTTCCTCTCATTCCATGTAACCCATAAGCATGGAGCTCAAACGTCTGTGTGTAAGGGGTAACGAAATTTAATTTTTGGCGCTCTTTACCAGTCTTTACCAATTATTCAGTTTAGTTGGAAGTAAGAGCCAAACCCCTTTGCTTGCGATGCACGCAATGGATTTCATCGCAAATGCACACCACACACCTACTCACACGCGTGCAGACACACAAACCAACAGACGCACTTAGCGAATTAGCATAGAAAGATGATATAACAAAACCCAGGATATCAAGATCAAGCTGGACCGATGAATACTAACTAATGGATAGAAAAAATTCGAGTGCCTGATTCAAAGGACAATTCCCTACCTGAATCAATGCTTTCTTCAACTGGAATATCGGTAAAGATTCTCGTTGTTCCTTCATACTCAGATTCGTGCGCTTTCCATAAGTAGCCTTGCCTCCAGCTGTAACGTGCTTCATCCAATCTGGCATATCCTATAAGTATTTTTTTTTTTATTTATATTTTTCGAAACGAAGGAAAATAAGAGTACGCCTGGATTGAGTCACGCTAGATTTATTCAAACAAATTGTTATAGTCTAATTCCGTAAGTTCTTACTTTGTCTCTTCTTGCAGATCCTCTAGCATCGTCGTTATCAACTTCACGCTCTTGCATAGGATCTAAAATCCTAGAACTGGTAGATCGTAACCCCGTGTTCCGTTCGCCATCTTTTTCTCGCTGAGCTTGTATTTTTGACTCTCTTCGCTCCTTGGACAAAGCGCTCTAAAACGACCAACATTTTATCCGTTGACGCTTGAAATCTAACGCCTTCAAACCTGCATAAGCGCCGCCTGTGCCATGCTGCCATCAGGATTCTTCACTACTTTAACCGGCTCAATTTCTTGATTTCCTTTTCCATATCCACGTAGGAATTCTGGCTCTTCCTCAACAAGCTCAACTTCGTAGTCTTCACCATCACTTTCTTCTGAAATTCGGTAGCTGAGGCGTTAGTTACCAAATCAGTAGTCACAAGGCAAAAGGTTCGGCTTGCTAATGAATGGTTGTGCAACTTGCCCTCTTCCCCTCTCAGGACACCAGAATCCTCATCAAAATCAGGGCGATCCAAGTTGGTAACCACGCCAGCGCCCACCATTTGCTGCCATTCCCACCTTTCCGGTGTTGACATCCGCACTCGGCTCTTCCCACTGAAAAAATAAACCCAAAGATGCAGCACCTATGTCTGTCACAACCATGGAAGTATGTGACTGACCAGGTTTTCTAGTTCAAACACTAAAATACCCATACGAGACAGCCACACCCCACGATCTAACAATCCATCTGTAGGCAACATACCTAGTAGTTGGAGCAATGGCGTTTGAAGACCCCGCCACCTCAGGGTTGGCCCATGGCGCCTCAGGATTTCGCAAACTGTTCACACCGACTGCATCCGCTGCCAACGGAGCTTCTACAGGATTGAGATCCTTCCCTGTTGATTGGTCGACTTCCTTCATTGAAAGAGAAATTTTTCCTCCTTCAATTTTTAACACCTGAAACAATATTCTGAACCTCCACCTCAGCAATTACATGTACATACATATGTGAAAACCTAGAACACTGATACGCAAAAATCCAATGGTGATACCAGATTACCTTTACTTTAACGTGTTGACCTCTACTGAGCACGTCCGCGACAGCGTTTACTCTTTCATTCTTCAACTGCGAAATGTGACACAATCCTTGTGTTTGCTGTCGTATACCTTCTAGCTAAAAATTTAAATCAAAGCAAGATATGTAGGTATGCGGTAAAATAATGGCAAAAGTGGTGTGGCTGAGAGGCTGAGCTAGCTGAGAAAAACGATTATTAAGCTCATTTGATATTGTGTGAAAGCACTTCTAGCCCTATCCCCTCCCCCGTTACGGTCTGTCAAAAAAAAACGTTGAAAAGCAGGATTTGCAAACCCCTCCATTCGCACAATTTAACGCCTTTGAGAACACAACGAGAATAGGAGCACAGTGGTTGGAATAGCAAGCATCAAAACCATTAAACTTTTGGTTCTGTGGAGCAAAAAACCACTGGAAACACGTGAACATTCGAATTCTTGATTCTGACAAGTCTTCGACCCTCGCTTCTTTCCACTTCTGTTGAACATATACTCCAATTGAAATCACGGATAGGTAACACCACCGAGTCGGGGAGACTCGCCCCAGTGTGACTATGATGAAAGAACGCGTGCACAGCAAGAGCAAGTCCATAGATTACCCAGATTTGATCCCGTTAGTTTTACCTACATTCAGCATGCAGCCTAGGACCACATGTGCGAGGCCTCTCGAGATGTGGGTGGTATTCGTCGCACATAGGAACTATGTTTGACTACGAATAAAACAGCAAATTCCAACCTGAATAAACGCTCCAAACGACTGTATGCTGACCACGCTACCGTTGTAGATTTGACCAATCTCAGGTGCATCCGGCAAATCCTTGTGAAATCTATCGCGATCGTTTCTTCCTCGCTCCTTGCTAGACCTCCTGTTGTCTCGGTTTGAACGATCACGCCTTTGAGTATGCCTGTCCCTAGAGTCATCACGAGATCTTCCGTCCTTTCGATTTCTGTCGTATCTTCCACTTCTGTCGTCACTTCGTCGGACTCGTGAAGGCGACCTAGACCTGAACAAAGGTATTATGGAAGCTCACAATATATAAATAGATTGTCAAATGCTACTTTTTTTAATTGCATAGTGTTCTCAACGGCGACACTTTAGTTTGTTTATCAACTGCTGCTTCACGTCGCAGTTCGCGTTGCTTGGCTCTCACAAGAATGCTGTATTAGTCAAATTTTTTGGATATTCACACAGGCAGGCATCTGGGACTGTAATGGTTGATTTATGGATTTTACCGTTTCCTCTCTACAACGGTGTGGACGATACAAACTGGACTCCAATCTCGACGCTCGATGCAAATGCAGGCACAATTTCCATGACACCTTCTAAGAAAAGATAGGAGGGAGATGCGTGGAGACCCCACTGGAACAATGGGGGATGGTTTGAGAAGATGAAAGCTAACGCCTAAATGTCGCTTGACGCAATGCTAGACTCGGACTGCTATACATTAGAGTTTAAGCGAACATTTGTGTAATCATAGGATAGTAAGAAGATCAAGCCTCTCTCCTTGAAATGAAGTAAACACATCCCTGGATTTGAGAACGGTATACCACAAAGAGTCACCATCACTTTGAAAAGTAGTGCAATGTGGAATGAGCCCTTTTCAAGATGAAAAAAGAATGCACCTTGATCGAGAGCGACTTCGTTGCCTTCTGTTCCTGCTTCCACCTCCACCTCTGCTCCTGCTTCTGCTTCGACTCCGATGGTAATGTTTACCATTTCTTGATCTGCTCCTTGTACGCTTCTTTTCTCGCTGACGAGAGGTCGACAATACTGTCCTTGGAGTTTCTTCTTCTGTTACCTCCTCTTTTTTCTAAATCACAGAAGTGAAATTTCAAATAAATGATATCAGTGAATTGCATGAAAAAGTCTACCGCTTCTTTCCACTTTGGAACAAGATTCTCCAGTTGACTCATCATGTCTTCGGTGTTGCTATTCGGTAAAGCGAGTGCCGGAAGCCTGGCCTAAATACGAATAAAGCCGCACTTTTAAAGCAAGCAGCGGATCTCTTTTCACAAACATACCTTTATTTCTTCTTTGGCGTCAGAAATCAGCGTAATCTTGTGAGAAGAGCTTGTTCCAGCCTGCTGACTTTTCTTCTTCGGTAACATGTGCTGGATTAGACGTAGCAAATTGGCTGTCAGTGAGTCATCGAACTGAAATTTACTCCAGAAAGTCTCAAGCATGCCAAATATGGAGCTACAGCTCGTTGACTCAATTACTAACATTCTAAAACAAGAATGTACAGAACTCCGTGGACGGCAAGATTTGCAAGCTAGCATTAATCAGCTAGGCAACACGTTGACGACGAGCGTATTTTTCCTTGTCGCGCGCATGGGACGAGGCGTTTTTTGCATGCAGAGCGCCGGTAATTACAAGGCAAAATTTATTTTGTAGCTCGCCAAATCTTGAAATATAGAAAATGCTTTTGACTAGAAAGCTCCAGACACATTTACAAGCAAAGGAAAGTTGTCAGTACTGAATGTTTCATGAAATTTCAGTGACATTGCCTGACATCATCAAAACTTGGTAGGAGATTGATAGGAAAAGGAGGAATTCCACGCAATCTTTCTTTTTGTTATTAGAATGAGTTTTCCTTTCTATGGAAATTGGTATTTTACTCGCATCTAGTATCTCCTAGATGCAAAAAAAGTCTGCTGCCCAACGAAATGACGCCTCTGTTTGACTGTTAGTTTGCTTTCATGATCAGATAAGGCGGCAGAATTGATTCCAACGACTCAATTCAAGATCAGAAAAATCGCTAGAGAAAGAATCCGGACACCGAGGGGCTAAATGGGTACTTTTGCGCTTGACTACGAGTGAAAACGTGCCTACTTGACCATCCAAGCCACATCAGTTTCGAAAGGCTGGAAATGGGGTTCTACTGACGGTGACATCATAATGAAAGGTTGATATGAACATCTTTGATGACATTTTCACTCTTCTGATAGTAGAGCCTTCGTGGCTGTAATTCAATTGGCAGCGCATTTTTGCAGTTGACAAAGAATACGAGAAAAGAGTTCCTGCAATTAGAAAGATCACGGGTCGCAGCTGAGTATGGTATCTTAGGACCCTAAAGTAACTATCGAAATAGGAAACTCGCAGGTATCATTTAAGTTTCCTTGTCTCCAAGCTGTCGGTCACCATTGACCGACATCGTCCCATGGGACAGACTGCCTGTCGGCCACCATTGACCGACATCGTCGTCAACGTGTTAAATCCCAAAATATGAGTTCTTCCAATATCGAGCCCCATAGGACAATTCGAGGCTGAACGAGAATGACATTCATTTCCGGCGCTGGCGCCATTTGGCGCCTATTTTCGGCTCACCTGCACCCCCTTACTGATTAGACAGTAAGCAGGGGCCGGGTGCAGCAAGCCCAACGAGGGGATGGGGACCCATCCCTCTCCCCGAGGTTGGCGTTATGTCCCAACCTTAGGGAGATACCTTTTGGGTCACCCAGCCTATTTTCGGCTCATCTGCACCCGGCCCCAAGACTAAGCCTTTGGGGAGGGCTCCGAAGTGACTAAGCCGCTCACCCTTAGCTATTGAAATTTTTCTTTTGCCAAACGATGCAAGGTTTACCAATCCCAGAGTTCCTCCTCTTCCCCCTAATCAGCACCATAAGGCTGGTGTCAGAGTCCGCGATCCGTCGCGATTTTCGCGATTTGCGCGATTCACGCGACGGATCGCAAAAATTGCAAGTGTGTGAACATTTGAAACACTGAATATGAAACAAGTGGAATCATGAGCAGTCGTCATTCAGCCATCACTATCAAGCAGAAGTGGCGGCAGGATTGGAGAACACCTTGCAGTATTGATCGGGCACTTGTGATTTCCGTGACCCGTCGCGTGAATCGCGCAAATCGCGAAAATCAGCGAAACCTGCGACGGATCGCGGACTCTGACACCAGCCTAAGACAAGAGACCCCCGAATGATAGAAAATGCGCGCTAAACATCACATATGATAAAAAAAAATGTCGTATTCGCAATCAGGACAGGAAATAACACCCATATAGAGATAGAGACTTATATCTGAATCTGGTGAAAACAGCCGCCGGAGCGACACCTACTGGCGCCAGCACCAAAAATGAATGCTATTCTCTCAAGCAGAGCATCGAACTCCCATGGACGAGGTTCCGACGAAAAAGAAAATTTGGAGATTTTGAGGATTTTGTAACGGTTGTTAGTACCTGCAGTTTTACTGAAAAACAACTCTTGCTATCCATGGAGTATCGGGGCAGCGAAACCTTCTATTCAAGCCCACTGATCATGTAGATTATAACCGGCACCACTGCCCCATAGCTCACTGACCAAATCGTATTCAATTTTTACTTCAGAGTAGGTCATCGAAAAATACCCACCTGTTCTCCAAGACCTTGCTCTTCCAGTGCTCTTTTGAATTTTTCATACGTATTATTCTTGGTTGCCAATTCAATGATGAATTCAGCCACATCTTTGTCCTTGATACCGAAATGGTTGTCCAATTCCGTACAGACTTTCGAAACTAAGGATAAATGTTCCAACTCATCCATGTCGTGGTGCTTATAGGGTCTAAATTAATTAGAAGAATAAGATAGAAAGAGGGAGGCCATGCCAACCATTTCAGCGAAAAAGAACAAGCACGACATTCTTTCATCGAGTGTAGTGATTCAGATTCGGCACACTTCACGCACTAAATATAACACGTTAGGGTAGGACTAAACCGCCGTCAGGCTTTGCGAATCCAGCAAATCGCTGATGGATCGCTGAACCGTTGGCGCATCGCGCATACTTCACGATTCGCTGAACTCTGTAAAATCTGGCACCGGCTCTATGCCGCAGTTATACCTTACAACGGCCTTGCACTTTTTTGCGATTCGATGTGAAAAAAGACACGAGGGTTTTTCGAGTGCGTTTCCGATTCTTTTCGCACTTAATGGCTCGAGCGTCCGCGCCCTGTGGCGGCGCATGGCTCCCACCACAACTAAGCTAGCACCCGTTAGTTGAAATATTCATATCAACGCAAGGATTTAGTACGGTGCTGAAAAAGGTCATCAGAAATACTATGGTAATTTTCGAGACGAATCTTAGCACAATGTAGGGGAAATACAGGACACCGACAGCAACCTCAAAAATTAGGTCTTCTCTCAATTGGGCCCATGGGTCGATATGAAAAGTGAAGAGGGATAATAATAGGAATACGGGCTCTGTAGTTTGGCCAAACAGCTGATCGAAGAATCGCATAATCGATACGTATCTATTCCACTCTCAAACTGCAAAATGAAATGCATGACGGTCGCAAAGTACCACCGCGAGCTTACCCCCGATTTATCCAGAATTCCGGAAGAATCAAAAGCTTTCCGGAATATCCAGCAAGATTTGAATGCTTGGCGCCTTCGCCACGCCTGAGGAGGTGTATGAACATACCAAAATTTAACAGTGTGTTGTGTAACTACAAAAATCATGCACAGTAGTTCCCACGCCTAGCGAAATGAAAACCAACAAAAAATGAGTAACACGTAATGTCAGCCATCATTCGGTGTATGTTTCAAACAACTCGTTTAACAGCTGGTTTGTTTTCAATACCTTGCAAGAGGGCTTCACCAGACCAAAACTCTCTAGATAGATCATTCAACACGTATAAATAGTAGAGATAGCTATAAAATGTTGTTTCAAGCATAACGAGCACAAAAAAGGCGAAAAAACTACAAAAAAAATCTCGAAGGCGTTCTCCAATAGCTGTAGGTGTCCACTTGTACTATCTGGAAAACGCTTCCCTTGAATAGGCGTCACGTCCGAGGGGATTCGAAATACTCATTAACGGTCACACTATAGGACAATAACAAAGTTTATTTCACAGAACTACGACCCTCTTGAAGAAAAAGATGAAACCAATTTCGAAACAATTGGAACGGATAGAAAACGAGAAACAACGACAGCGCGACATGCGATGTTACGTATTTCTCCCACCCTGCGCCGGTGCAATTGCGTACCGCAAGCGATTACAGTACTCCCACGCCTAGTTCTACTGGCGTTGACATTTGTAACTGATGATCACAGGCGGGGCTCGTGATGAAAGGAAATGGGAAGACTAATCAATTCATAACTAGCACAGCTCCGAATATTGTACTGAGTTGAGCCATGCATTTCTCCTTTCAGATAGGTGACGGGTACCGAGAGATGCTCTACATATCGTTGGAACACCATGTGCGCGCCTGGAAACCACTCTAATTCCTCATGTCATTTACTTCTTAACATGCAAAATAGGGTAATGTGCTAGCGTATTTATAATGTTCCGCACTAGAACAATCATTGATGCCATTATGCATTGTACCAGTGCAGTGAGGGACTCGAGGGGACGAAGTTTACTTGGCACCTGAGGGAAGAGAGAGTTCTAATTCGTGAGGTAGTTTTCATCATGAACTGCTTAGTAGTTGCGTCTCACGGCCACCTTGTTTTCGAGTTGTAGTTGATTTATTAGCACTTGTAGATATTTCCATAGACATAGAAATCTGATACGGAGGTATCCTTGTGAGGATGACTTGTGCTGAAAGTGAGAGTAGATGATAGGCATGGGATATGTTCATTCTTTCTGTAAGAGATGCCGTAAAATGTAATTCAGTTTTATTGGAAATAATCCGCTTACAGTAGCGTTTGCGTTACTGCT